AAGGCCTCTGAGACACCGGCTTGACCTTCCGACTTTCCACAAAGGAGGCCTCATCTCCCAGTCTTAGGGGGTCCATATTCTTGCGCTTATCTTACAAAGTTTCCTAAACATCAGCAGCAGCGGAAAGCTCTTAGGAAACGTCTTTATATTAGAAAAACCCCAACAAAATCAGCTGAACTGCCCCAAAGAGCCTGAGCCTTAGCACAAATGGAGGTGACCATGGACTTCATTCCTGGAAAAATGCACTTTGGAATGTCTTGGAGAACAAGGATGTTGGAAGAAAACAAGAAACTTGGAGGAGGGGGAGATGGGAGCAGGAGGAAGGCAAATCAACAGAAGACTTCACGTGCCTCTTCCAGGGCAGGAAAGAAGAGCGAGAGGCCCTTCAGGCCAAGTTCTATGGAAGGCACCTAGACCTGGGGACACTCTGTGGCAGAAGAGACAGACTCAGGACTTACCCCGAGGAACAATGGAGAGCTCCTGGGAGGACAGTTGGCTTATGTCACCTCTATGCAAGGACCACTCGAGTGACATGCAAGACATGCCCCCGACCCAGGCCCCTGAGGCAGCACCCAGTGACCATCAAACCCGCCACTCACCCACTGCTGCGGCGGGCCAACAAGGAGCGTATGCCCACTCCCCGCATCCCTGCCACATCTCTCACCCCTCCGCTCCTCCCTGACCCTCTCACCCCTGCTAGAGGCCCACATGGGTCTGCAATCCCCAGCCCCTCACTTCTATAATGAATATTTTTTAAAAACCAATGATTTTAAAAATAAAGAAATAAATTTTTTAAATGAATTTTCAAAGAGCTAGAATTTCTGTCAGTATAACTTCATTTATGAAACATCAGGTCTTACACTGAAAATCATTGGAATTTCCTCTAATAATGTAAGTCAGCCTCTCAATGGCCCCTTCTAAGGGCCAGTGCCACGGCTTACAGGCTAATCCTCCACCTTCAAGCACCAGCATCCCATAAGGGCACCAGTTCGTGTCCTGGCTGTTCTACCTCCCATCCAGCTCCCTGCCTGTGGCCTGGAAAAGCAGAAAAGGAAGGCCTGATGCCTTGGGACCCTGCACCACGTGGGAGACGCGGAAAAAGCTCCTGGCTTTGGATTGCCTCAGCTCTGGCCATTGTGGCCATTTGGGGAGTAAAACAGAAAATAGGAAATCTTTCTGTCCTTCCTTCTCTCTATAACTCTGCCTTTCAAATAATAATAATAACAGTAATATTTTTTTAAATACCCCCTTCTAGGGCACTGGGATGGTAGCCTAGTGGCTAAAGTCCTCACCTTGCATGCACCAGGACCCTATATGGGTGTCGATTCATTTCCAGTAGCCCCACTTCCCATCCAGCTCCCTGCTTGTGGCCTGGGAAAGCAGTCAAGGACAGCCCAAAGCCTTGGGACTCTGCACCCACATGGAAATCCAGAAGAAGCTCCTGGCTCCTGGCTTCAGATTGGCTCAGCTCTGACCATTGCAGATACTTGGGGAGTGAACCAGTGGATGGAAGATCTTTCTGTCTCTCCTTCTCTCTGTAAATCTGACCTTCCAATAAAAATAAATCTTGAAAAAAGAAAGAAAGAAAGAATACCCCCCTTCCAAGGCTCCTAAGTCCCAGGGCTCTGTGCTAGCTGGGAGCTTGCAGAGACACAGGAGGCAATCAGGGCAGGCACCCGGCCTTTAGATCAGGGGTGCCTTGGACCAGCCCACATCCCCCATCACAGTGCCTGGGCCTGAGCCCAGCTCCATCCCAACATCTGTTTCCTGCTTCAAACATGTCCTAGGAGACAGCAGGTGATGAGGGCCTGGGCACTCGAGTCCCCACCTCCCGGGTGAGATGGCTGGACTGAGCTGCAGGCTCCTGGCTAGGTGGTTCTGGACATTTGGAGTGAACTAGAAAATGGAAATATCTCCAACCCTCACCTGCAGTCTCCTCTTCTCCAAGGAATGATAATATAAACACAGAAATAAACACCAAGTTACTCATTCTGAGGCCCTGGCTGTTTTGATCCAAAGTACAGCTGATTATGGATTCAGCTCCCCCTGGTGGTGGTGCCTGAAGCTACCATACTATGGAAGCTGAGCACAAACCTTAGAACTTACCTGGTTAAACCCTCTTCTTGGGCCCGACGCAGTGGCCTAGAGGCTAATGTCCTCACCTTAAATGCGCTGGGATCCCATTTGGGCACAGACTCTAATCCCAGCAGCCCTGCTTCCCATCCAGCTCCCTGCCTGTGGCCTGGGAAAGCAGTCAAGGACAGCCCAAAGCCATTGCGGTCACTTGGGGAGTGAATCATGGGACGGAAATTCTTCCTTTCTGTCTCTCCTCCTCTCTGTATATCTACCTTTCCAATAATAAAAATAAATAAATCTTTAAAATAAAAAAAGTCACATCCTTGTGATGGATGTTTCCCGGATAGGAACTGCAGAGAAAACCATTTTTTAAAAAAAAAAAAAAGATTTATTTATTTATTGGAAAGGCAGATATACAGAGAGGAGGAGAGACAGAGAGGAAGATCTTTCATTCGATGATTCACTCCCCAAGTGGCCGCAATGGCTGCAGCTGAGTCAGTCCGAAGCCAGGAGCAAGGAGCTTCTACTGGTTCTCTCATTCAGGTGCAGGGTCCCAAGGCTTCATCCTTCCCAGACCACAGGCAGGGAGCTGGATGGGAAGCAGGGCAGCCAGGATTAGAACTGGTGCCCATATGGGATCCCGGTGTGTGCAAAGTGAGGACTTTAGCCACTATGCTATCACCCCGGGCCCCAGAAACCTACTTTTAAAGCAGACAGATTAGATAACAAGAGTATGAAGAATACAAGGATTTTCTGAAAAATTAAAAAAAAAAAAGTATTGATTTACTTGCGACTAGGTGTGTGTTCCCATCTGACTTGAAGACATTTTCAGAAAGGCACTAAGCCAGCAGGCGGGACAGGGTGGTGGAGGGACAGGGTGGCAGTGAAGGAAGTCAGCCTCCCCACGGAAGGCAGGAAGCCCGCAAACCAAGGCAGGAGCCCGCAAACGGGAGGCAGGAGCCCGCAAACCGAGGTGGAGGCCCGCAAACCTGCGGTGGCGCAGAACCTCCACAAACCTTCCTGCTGCGAGGGGCAACCCCACGCTCTCGGCCCGAGCTTTACATAAATCCTCACATTTTCCTTCCTGAACATCCTCCTTCCACTTCAAGTCTGAGTAATCAGCTGAATTGCAGCCGCAGGAGCAAGCGCCCGCTTCTGTCATGCTCCGAGAAATACCAAGTGATTGCTCACAGCACTTCTCTAGCGCTCTTATTTTTAGAAAGGGAAAGAACAATAAAAAATCAAGAAATCTTTAAATATACACAGATATTTGAAGGAATACATTAAGCAATACAGATTCTATTACACAGAATGAATTTTTCTTTTTTTAATTGAAGAAGTTTCATTGCATTCATGTGAAAAAAAATTGAGTTCTTTAATAACCCAGACTTGGGTTCACGTCGCCCTGGGGACTGCTGCACATTCTTTTTGAATGGGAGTTGCCCAGTGCAACACCTGTTCCCTGTTAGGATTTCCTGGTTGGAAAGCAAGAGACTCCAACTCATGTTAGCTAAAGTCACAAAGACATTGACAGCAAAGCATGTGTGCTGAGCACGGGGCTCATGGGCCTGCAAGGAGCGGGTGAAGCGCAGGCGGCAGGATACCTCCGCAGTCAGAGTGGAAACAGCCAAGGACCCATGAGGGCTCTGGCTGCGTTTTCTGTTCCTTTGCCTAACCTACAGGGGATTGCAAAGCAGCGGGAAAGGTTCTACAGAAAACACGGGGCATGCAAGGGACAGACCTGCCCAGCCATATTAACAGACGTGAGAACTAGCTATTTGCTTCACTCTAATGCTATCAAGCCATTGCCTGTAGTGTCGGCATCCATTTAGGCATGGGTTTGAGTCCCAGCTGTTCTACTTCTGACCCAGCGCCCTGCAAATGAAGCCTGGAGAGGCAGAAGAGGATGGCCTAAATCCAAACCCTTAGGCCCTTAGTCCCATGTGGGAGGGCTGGAAGAAACCCTTAGCTCCTGGCTTCAGTCTGGCCCACTCCGGTCCTGGGGTCATGGTGGCCGTTTGGGAAGTGAACCAACAGATAGAAGACATCTCTCTCTCTCTCTCTGTGTCATTCTCTCTCTTTGTAATTGCCTTTCAAATAAATTTTTAAAAGTTCTTCAAGAAAAAAAGAAAGCACACTGAATAATGCAGTTGTGTAAAGCCAGGCACAGGCAACTGCTCTGCACCCAGCCCCCAGGCACAGGTCATTGTTACTGTTAGTGTCTGCATGGGTCTCTCTTCTCAGAATGTAAGGTCCTTGAGCGCAGGAATAATTTCTTGTCTTTGTTGCTTGTGCGCCTAGCACCATGTCCAGACAAAGCCAGGACTCGCCAGATGACTGCTGAGATAAATGCAAATTAAAAACCTGTGCCGGGCCTGGCGGCATGGCCTAGTGGCTGAGGGCCTCGCCTTGAATGCACCAGGATTCCATATGGTCTCTGGTTCTAATCCCGGCAGCTCCACTTCCTCTCTATCTCTCCTCCTCTCTGTATATCTGACTTTGTAATAAAAATAAAATAAATCTTAAAAAAAAAAAAAAAACTGGTGCCTCGGGATAACAGGATAGCTCAATTGGCTAATCTTCCACTTCCAAGTACCAGGATCCCATATGCGCACAGGTTCATGTCCCAGCTGCTCCACTTCCCATCCAGCTCCTGCCTGTGGCCTGGGAAAGCAGAAGAGAAAGGCCTGATGCTTTGGGACCTGCCCCCACGTGGGAGACCTGGAAGAAGCTCTTGCTCCTGGCTTTAGATTAGCTCAGTTCGAGCCATTGCAGCCATTTGCGGAGTGAACCAGCAGATGGAAGATCTTTCTCTGTCTCTCCTCTCCATAAAAAAAAAAAAAAAAAAAAAAAAAAAACCTCTTTTAAAAAAATTACTGCCTTGTTTTTGCTTGTTTTTAATACTTTGGAAGGTTCTCGATTACCTTAGCAAACCTGCGGGACGTTTGAGCAAGACGGGCCAGATCTTCCAGATCCAAGTAAGAGATGATGCTGAGGAGCAGCGCATCGGAGAGCCGCTCCAGGAAGTCAAACTTCCCTTGGCACAAGTTGAACACGTAGTCTAATATCCCAGCACCGAAGATCAAGGCAATTTGAACTGAAATGCAAAGAAACCGATGAAGCAATACAGTTACTCAGTCCTAACTTTACACAACAGGAAAAATAAAAGTGGCAGACGGAAAAAATTAATGAGAATGTCATGAAAATGACTTTAAACTTTGCTTAGAATCTATAATATTTTCTTAGTTATTTCTGAACTAAGAAACAGTTCAGAAAGAACCAACCCATACGTCGGCCTATGTAAACGTGTTCAAATAACCAAGAGACAGAAGCATGCGTCCAAGGAATGTTCCACAACGGGGCACATCCAGGCGATGCACTTCTCCCTTCTTCACTTATCTTTGTTTTTCTGAGCTTTTGATAGTAAACTGGCTTCAAAATAAAAAATCTTGGATGGGAGGAGGGGAAAAAAAAAAAAGACATGGGCCTGGAGCTGTGGTGTGACTGTCGAAGCCTCTGCCTGCAGGGCTGCCATCTCATATGCACGCTGGTTTGAGTCCTGGCTGCTCCACTTTGCATCCAGCTTCCTACTAACAGCCTGGAAAAGCAGCAGAGGATGGTCCACGTTCTCAGATGAAAAGGCAGGTCTCCCTGCACCACGTGGGAGATGCAGAAGAAGCTCCTGACTCCTGGTTTCAGACCAGGCCAGCTCTGGTCATTAAGGTCATTTGGGGAGTGAACCAGCAAATGGAAGATCTCTCTCTACCTCTGTCTTTCAAATAAAAATTAATATTTTTCTTTCAAAAGGAGACAAAAATCTTAGAAGGAAGCTTCCTTTTTTCATAAAACAGAAAATGTATTTATCTGAAAGGCAAAGTTGCAAGGGGCGGGGCGCAGAGCTCTTCCGCCCACTCCCCTCTCTATAAGGCCACAAAGGCCAGGCCTGGGCCAGCAACAGGCAGAAGCCAGGGTCCTCTTCTCGCTCTGCCACAGGGGTGGCAGAGGTGTAAACACTGTGCTCTCTTTTGCTGCCTTCCCAGACAACAACAGGAAGCTGGATTCAAGTGGAGCAGCCAGGACTCGAATCAGCATCCCTTTAGTGGTGGCTTAACTCACTGCACCTGTTTTTAAAAGAAAACAGAGTGATAACAGGGCATGCATGTAGATAGATCCCCAAGCGGGGGCAGGAGACGGGGGATTTCACCATATCTTCCCTTCTGACTCTAGAAGCACCACTAGGGACTACTCTTAGAAGACAGAGAGAGACACAGAGAGACACAAAGAGAGTCCTTTCATTTTTTAAAGATTTTTTTTTAATTGAAAATTCTGATTTACAGAGGAGAGAAAGATCTTCTGTCTGCTGGTTCACTCCTCAAGTGGCCATAACAGCCAGAGCTGAGCCAATCTCAAGTCAGGAACCAGGAAATTTTTCAGGGTGTCCCACGTGGGTGCAGGGTCCCAAGGCTTTGGGCTGTCCTCTACTATTTTCCCAGGCCACAAACAGGGAGCTGAATGGGAAGTGGAGCAGCTGGGACATGAACCAGCGCCCATATAGGATCTTGGTGTATGCAAAGTAAGGATTTAGCCACTAGGCTATCTTTCTGGACCCCCACAATCTGGGTACTACCTTCCATCCTCAGCCAGGAGCGAGCGGGGAGAGCTGCCTGGGCTTCCTGCAGACATGGTGCAGCTGTGATCCCAGGGGCACTCTGATTTCAGAGCAGGCCGTGTTTATGTAAAAGCCCACGTTAGATTTCTCTCCATAACTGGCTATCCCTGCTTTCTCAAGGGAGTCTGAGTTGAAGGCCCTTTGGATTCCTAGTGCTTCCAATCCAAAGCCCTCTAAAAAACAAAAATGCCTTCTCAGGGGATGTGAAGCCCTGCCAGTAAACAGCCTGGGGCATAGCAGGCGAGCACACCACCTGCTACAGTGACGTCACATGTGACCTCTGGCTGCTCCACTTCCCATCCAGCTTCCTGCTAGTGTTCCTGGGAAAACAGCAAAAGATGGCCCAAACGCTTCGGCCCTTGCACCCACAGGGTGACCTGGATAAAGTTCCTGGCTCCTGGCTTCGGATTGGCCCAGCTGTGGCTTGTTGTGACCAATTGGGGAGTGAACCAGCAGATGAAGATCTCTGTCTCTTTCTCTGTAACGCTGCCTTTCAGAGGAAATATACATCTTAAAAAAGAAAACAAAACATTGACAAAAACTCACGGTAAGCTGTGGAGCAGCCAACCTCTAAGATAGCTCTAAGAATGCTCTCGGATTCAAGCCCCTGCCTCATGGAATGGGGCTAACCTACTTAGCCAATGAGATGTGGCAGAAGTGATTACTTGAGGCTTGTCACATGTGACACCTGGTCTGCTTTGTTTCCTAGGGTCACTCACGCTGGAAGCAGCCAACTCCCATATGCCAACAAGGGGCAGTATAGCTGGGGAGAGGAGCAACTTCCATGCACCTATCAGCCCGGATGGGACACCCCAGCCCCAGATGGGAACGCCTCACCTTCAGAAGATGGAGGCACCATGCAACATAGCACAAGTCTCTAACACAGAACCACTCGGCTAAGACACTCCTCAATTCCAAACCCAAGAAAACTGTCTAAGAAACATCAGTATTTAAAGCAATCTGAACATTTAAAATGAATGATCATGATTAGGGGACCTACAAGCATTGTGGTACTGGAATCTAAGATGTGGAATGGCGGACCAGTATTATGTAGTTTAAGCCTCTGTCTGCAGTACTGGTGTCTCATGTGAGCACCGGTCTGAGGACCAGTGCTCCTGTTCAATCCAGTTTCTAGCAACTGTACCTGGAAAACACTAGAGGATGGCCCAAAAAGTTGGACCCCTAGCACACGCCACACATTGGACACCGAGACGGGACTTCAGGCTCCTGGCCCAGCCCTCGTCATCGAAGGCATCTGAGGAGTGAACCAGCACATAGAGATCTTTCTCTCTTCCTCTCCCTGACCCTCTCCCTGCATCTAAAGTGTATGCGTGTGTGTATGAGTCTTCTTCTCTCTCTCTTTCTCTGTAACTTTGTCTTTCAAATAGACAAATTAAGGAAAAATTAAGAAAAAAAAAAAGGAAGCATGCATGAAAGGTCATGAGGAAACTGTCAGTATAAATGGCCTAGCACCATACCCTAGTGGCTAAATCCTTGCCTTGCACAGCACCAGGATCTCATATAGATGCCACTTCGTGTCCTGGCTGCTCCACTTTCCATCCAACTCCCTGCTTGTGGCCTGGGAAAGCAGTATAACACGGCCCAAAGTCTTGGGACCCTGCACCCACGTGGAAGACTCAGAAGAAGCTCCTGGCTTCGGATCAGCTCAGTTCCAGCCGTTGTTGCCACTTGGGGATTGAACCAGCAAACATAAGATCTTTTTCTCCTTCTCTCCATAAATTGAATCTGCCTTTCCAATAAAAATAAATAAATCTTTTAAAAAGAAAAAAAGCTGTTAGTTTAAATGTGATGCACTCTGAGGCTTTAAGGTAAAGACTTTAAGGAAAATGAACAATGGAATATTAAGCACTGGACGAGAGGGGCCGTTATGATGTAGTGGCAGAAGCTGAACAGCAATACCGCCTATGTGACATGGAAAGCAGGAAAGGTTGTCTGATTCAGCAAAGGAGGGGTCTGAGCAGGATGCTGAACATGTTGCCTGTCTTGCTGCTTAAAGTGAAAGGTCAGAGGAGAGAGACAAACGAAAGGAGCTTTGAAAAAGACAAAGGTTAAAACAGGAGGGAGGATCTGCTGGTTTGGAACATTCTCTGCTTGTTCTGATGCCAAGCAATGCCACGATTAACAAACAGCTCCTGGGGCTGGCATTGCGGTGCAGCAGGTAAACCTGTCATGTGCAATACCAGCATCCCATATGGTCACCTTCACATCCCGGCTGCTCCACTTGCAACTCTGCACCCTGTTCATGTGCCTTGGAAAAGCAGTGGAAGACGGCCCACATGTTGGGCTTCATGTTACCTGCAGAGACCTGGATCCTGCGCCTGGCTCCTGGCTTCAGCTCGGTCCAAGCACTGCCTGTTGCCATATGGAGAGGGGACCAGTGGATAGAAGTAGAAGATTTCTCCACGTCTCTTATATATATATATATATATATATATATATATATATATATATACACACACACACACACACACATATGTATATATAACACTGGGCCCCTATTTACCAATATATGTAAAATTAGAAAGGTAGATTTACAGTGAAAGGAGAGACAAAGATTTTCCATTCACTGGTTCACTCCCCAAGTGGCTACCATGGCTGGAGTCGAGCCCATCTGAAGCCAGGACCCAGAAGCTTCTTCTGGGTCTCCCACATGGGTGCAGCGTCCTAAGACTTTGGACTGCCCTCTCTTACTTTCCCAGGCCACAGGTAGGGAGCTCAACGGGAAGTAAAGCAGCCAGAACACAAATGGGTGTCCACATGGGGTCCTGGTGCTCACAGGAGGAGGATTAGTAAATTGAGCCATTGCACCAGGCCCTGTAAGTAATATTTTTAGTTTAATAGAAGAGGTTGGGGGCCAGCACACTGGTGTAACAGGCTATCCTCTACTTGCGGCACAGGCATTCCATACGTGTGCTGGTTCAAATCTTGGCTGCTCTACTTCCCATTTGGCTCTTGTTAATGGCCTGGGAAAGCAGCAGAGGATGGCCCAAGTGCTTGGGACCCTTCGACCATGTGGGAGACCCAGAAGAAGCTCCATCAACAGGACCTGTTAAGCCATCTCCTGCTGGATCGCAGCACTTCCACTATTTCCCTGCTGTTTCCAGGAGCATGCTCTCCAGTACCTACACCACAGAAAACAGAAGTAAAAGACTACTGTGGTGCAAAAAAAACCATGCGGTGCACATGGAACCCATGTGTAATCTTTTCATAATATGCATTTTTCATAAACTTATATTGAAAAAAATTAGAAAACATGTAAGAGTTGCACTAATTTAATGGGTACTGCGTGATGCTTTCTGAATAAATGGTGCAATATCCAACCAGCGCTGGGCCAGGGTAGAGCCACAGGCCAAACGAACCAGAGCTCCACCGAGGTCTCCCATATGGGTGACAGAGACCCAGTCGCT